GCATATAGGCACAGATTATGGAGATTATTATTAAGGACAAGTAGGGAAGACCTGCTTAGGGTCAAACTTTGGAAGGCTTTCCTTTGCAGTTGAACAGGAAGGGTTTTGTGTAGGAAAGTGAAATGGCCCAAGATCTTCCTTGGGGATATTTTCCAGCAGACTTGTGTAGACTGATTACAAAGAGCCAGGTAGGGTTGTAAAAATTCAGGAAAGGGGGCATAGGGGTTTAATTTAGGCTTTAGTCATGGAAACAGAGGGGATGGTTCCAAGAAAAGCTGTGGGTGATAAAATTAGTGAGCTTAGACTAGTTTGTTTGATCTGAATCACATGGCAGGCCTGTGAAACCATAGATTTCTGGACCTCACCCCCCGAGTTTCTGACTCAATAGATCTCTGATGGAACCTGGAAAATTGCATTTCTAACAAGTTCCCAAGTGCTGCTGGATTTGAGAACCACTGCTCTGGTATGACATAGGACATCAAAATAGCACTCAGTAATCCTTCACCTTAATCCCAGGTTTGAATCATATGTCTTAATAAAAGGAAGATGCAGAACGAAGATTAGGACTCACTGAGGTTGCAGTGCCAGAGGGCTTCAAGGGGAGTCCTCGGTTAATAATTTCAAATATGCACCCGGAGCATTGGAGGAGATGAAGCATGTGGGCCATACAAACGTGAAAGGGATGAACTTACAGAAAGAGGATTTAGGCTAGAACTTTGTGGGTGTGGGACAGAAGGTGAAGAGGGGACAGAAATAAGAGTGTTTAGAGGGCTGGAGAAGCAGCACACAAGGTAGTAGGCTTTTCAGTAGTCTACTAGTAATTACACTAATACATCTAGAGTAGATAGCTGAGTAAGGGGGAGGGGGAGGGTTCCATGGAAAGTAATCTCACAGATCGATCTGATCATGAATTCCTAACTGGACAGGTCATGGTGGGTAGTCATGCCACAGGCATATAACCTTTTAGTAAAAGGTTTATCTTTGTCTTACCCAAACCATGTCCATTGTATCTGTGCACCTGGGTTAACACATCTTTAAAACAACCACCCTCAAGAGAGAATATCATCTTAACTAACCTGTAATCCAATCCCACTTTCATGTCATCTTCGTTGTCCCCTCAATTTCAAATGCATAACAGAAGCTGCAAAGTTGTTATTCTCCAGAGCATTTGAGATCTTGCTCCTGCCTATTTGGCCCAAATAAACTCATTTTCTCCACACTGGTTTGGATGTTGTTTTTTGGTTGTTTTTTAAAGATTTTTTTTAAATTGATTTTTGAGAGAGAGAAGAAGGGGGAGGGAGAGAAACATCAATGGGCTGCCTCTTACAGGCCCCCTTATGGGGATAGGGAGAAGTAAGCCCAAAACCTGTGCATGTGCCCTGACCAGGAATCAAACCAGCAATCTTTCAAGTGCATGGGACTACACCAAACCACTGACAACTGAGCCACACCAGCCAGGGCAGGTTTGGACATTTTTTACATCGACAGTATGCCTGCCTCAATAATTTACTCATGGGACTAGTATTTAAATACTGGTATTGAAATTACCTGTATGTAAATTAAAATTCCTCCCCTGGTGGCAATAAACACATTTTTGTAACACTTTTCCGTTTAGAAAGCACCCCCCATCCTCCATCTCATTTATGTTCACTTATAACTTCAGAGAGCTGAAGGAGAACATGGGATGTGTGATGTAAGGCAAAGAAAAAGTCTTGGTTTCTTTATCAACATTTCCAAACAACTCAGAGTGGACAAGGGTGCCAGAGAAACAAAGAGAACTTTGGATCAGAATTTTTCCAGGGGTTACAGTTTACCAAGGCTCCTCTCCTAACTAAATTAGCCTTGAGGATAAGCAAACAAAATTATCCATCTCATTTCATTTATACCACCAGAGGGCCACAATGGCAAAGGAATGTTCATAAGGCCTTTTGTTCTAGGGTTTCTGCACTCGATGCGCGTTCATTCCTGAGTCGTATTTGGGAGTAGGGAAAGACTATGAATCACTTAGTCTCCTTGCTTCTATGTTAGTTGTCCTTTAGTCCAGTCTCATTATGTGTGAGAGATGTAATGAAGAAAGGTGGGATCTTCTGATTTCTTGGGGAAGTGAGGGTGGGGCCCAGTTTGGTATCTGGATGACAGGGAATCCTGTCACCAGGCAACCCTAACACAAAGCCTTGTCATTTCTATATATAGAAAACAGTCTTCAATTTTCCCTCAGTTGATTAAATATTATTTTTTGAAATGTGAAACATTGACAAAGGGTCCAAAAGTGAAAAAACATACAAAGAGGTACACACAAAGAAAACTTAACTTACCTACGGCTTTGGACAGTGGTTGGTTGGTGGGTGAGAGTTCTGATGAGGCACAAAGGGAACAACGGGGGTGCCAGTAATGTTGTTTTTCTTGATCATGGTGTTGGTTATATGTGACCACTGTGTGGTATTTCAAGCTATACTATTGTAACTTCTAGTTCTCTGTAATGTATACTTCAAAAAAAAAGCTTAAATTTCCTTGCAAAATTGGGACATAGGTTTTAGGCTTAAATATGGTAAACACAAGGTTTTACATTAGTTAAAATGGAATCTCATATAAGGAACAATTACAGTTATTTCAAGTAACAACTCAATTATTAATTTCAAGGATTTTCTAATACAACTCCAATGTCATACAGAAAAAATGAGTTGGTCTAAACATGCAAACACAGCAGCCATAGCAAAGCAGAGCTCGATACACAGTCTACAATTTTCTTTCCTTCATTAGTTTCACTTAATCAAGTACTAGTTTAGAAATATTCGTCTTTACAACACCATGATTGTACAACCCTTTCTGGACTAAAGATTTTATCAATGGCATTTTTCATCTCATGCTTATCATGCATATGTTTTCCCATGCCCTGAACAAACTAAATTTTTTCCATATTGAAACAAATTATTACCCTCATATATTTTTAGCATTTATACTCAACTATTAGGAGCCAAATACTATTATAAAACTAAAAAGATTTTAAGGTTCTAATGAAAAGTATTATGTAAGCTGGTAGACGTTTTATCCTTCAACATTTTGTTGGAAAAAAAATCTTTGGAATATGTATTTTAAAGTACTAACAAAGCCCAATTTAAAGTATAGTAACCACATTTTCCAATTATCTGAAATGACTCAATAGGTCAAATGTACAAGTGTTCTTTAGGTGAACTTCAATAAAATGAAATTGTTCTTATGAAGGTTCTAAAACAAGCACTGAATATTGAATAGAACTACTAACAGGTGTTCTGACCTCTAAGAGAGTAGTTATGTGCCAGTGCATTGGCCAAGCTTTTAAAAACAGCTTCTGTGCATTAATTAATGATAAAAGGCTGTATTTTTATCTACTAGGAATGCTGACACAGGATTCTGCAGATCAAGACATGTGGGGAAGATGTGTTGATCAAAGTAAACTCCCAATTTAAGCAAACTTACCAGGATACTGAATCTCATGTATTCAGTCTCTTAGAAACAGGTAGAAAAATCAGAATGCTTAATAATCCTATTTAGTCAAACACTTTAAAAAAACAAATTTAAATATAAGAGAATGCAACAAGGTATTTGAACCTGAATGCAGAGAATAAATACTTTATTAACTGATTACAATTGAAAGTCACAAACAAAAAAGGGGTGTATTAAGGCAGAGCAATATATATATACATATATATATGACATACATATATATGACATATATATATAGACAAATCCAAAGACTGTTACCGCTTTACATTAATAACCTCTGCATTTTTCTTTTACACATTTAGGCAGTGTGCTTTCTTTTCTTCTCACAGAAATGAATCTTGACCAATATTTTAAATTGTATTTTGATAACAACTTATAGGATCATTGATTTAGACAATGACTAGTGTATCAAATGCTATCTGATAGTTTTCTCAGCATATTCCATTTGTGGTGGTATATTTATGTTGGTGTGGAAAATTTGATAATCATCTTCTTTTTTCCAGTAAAACTAACACATAATTTTAAAAAATGATTTTGGATAGTCTTAACTAAAATAAGCTTGGACTTCCAAGTCAGTCAAATGCCCAAAGCATATTGTTTTCTGCCCTTCCCTAAACCTTCCTGTATGTTTTAAGTAGCCTTTAGAATATGATCACATGGTTTAATTTCAGATCTATAAATTTTAAGGTTTTCAAAATCCAAACTTACTTCCTTATGCAAAGTGGCAATGCAAATAGCAATCCTACATAATGAGGAATCATTTTTCTTCTGTATAGCTTCCTTTTATAAAAATGGGCAACCACAAAAAAAAAAAAAAGATAAGTTTAGTCCATCTGACAAAGCACTGCAGCTCCCTAATTCCACTCTTGAAGGAAAAGGCAGAGGCAAGTTTACATTATCCCAGAAAACTGAATAAATGGCTTTATTTGGTATCTTCAAGAAGCTTCTCCTTCCGTAGGAGATGTTGGTGATGTAGGAGAAACTGTGACTGGTTTTCGTGTAATTCTGTCCAGTTCCGCATGAACATCTGATAGGACAGGCTTCTGGCCTACATTGAAGAAAAAGAAATGAGATTTAGATATAAGTAATAGTATCTTTTATAGCAATGTCTCTTCATTCAAGAAACTGCCAAAGGTTTCATTAATTTTATCTAGCATACTAAAGTAAAAAATATATATAAACGAAGCCACTTTAAAATGGAGTCAGAGCTGTGGTCCCAGAGGATGCCTCCAACCTTTGAAATGTTAAAATAGGGCAAAATAACCTCTGACTGGGCCTAAAGCAGCACTGTATCCCAAACAACTGTGTGCAAAGACAATAAGAAATCAGATTGTTATAGCTACAGACTGAAAATTAAAAACATTCTTTAGAATTAGCATCCCTATGTTAGCTTATCTGTACTTATAGAATTGCCTTCTTCTAGAAGCTGACATAATTGAGCAGTTGATGGAATTGTTCCCCTTCCCTTTCTCATAAATATTCCTGATCCCCCTGGCCTTTGTCTCCTAAAACTATTTAGGTTCCTGCCTAAATTAGTGCTTCCTGAATAGCTATTCTTTTGGACCTCAAATAAATGCTATTGTCTCTCATTTGGTCTTTTATTTTTAGGTTAACATTAAGTGGCATAAACATCCTAATTTAAAAATAAATTCCCTCATTTTATTTTTTTTAATATATTTTATTGATTTTTTACAGAGAGGAGGGGAGAGGGATAGAGAGTTAGAAACATCTATCAGCTGCCTCCTGCACACTCCCCACTGGGGATGTGCCCGCAACCAAGGTACATGCCCTTGACCGGAATCAAACCTGGGACCCTTCAGTCCGCAGGCCGATGCTCTATCCACTGAGCCAAACTGGTTAGGGCAAATTCCCTCATTTTAAATTGTAGAGTCTGAATGGAAGTAAAAACTAGCACCTATCAGTTAATCTCATGAAGGTATTTTCAAAAAAGGCATAGAATAAGGACAGTAAAATAGAAAATAACAAAATTTTGGAATCCAGAAAGAAGATAGGTTAGTGGTAACTAAATTAGCAGTACTGAGAAACTTAATCTACTACACTGTCCATAAGAAAAGCCAAACAGTAATTCAATTTATACCCAGAAACCTGTAAAAGGTTCAAAAACATGGTAGTTGCAGGCATTTGTGATAAGGGTGACAGGAGGTGGGATTAAAAAAGGAGAATGGGTTAAAAAGTCTGTTTAAAGAGCTACAAAATAAAAAGAAACTAAACTTCATCAAAATTAAAAACTTCTGTGCTACAAAGGACACTACTAAGAAAGTAAAAGGGCCCTGACTGGTTTGGCTCAGTGGATAGAGCATCGGCCTGTGGACTCAAGGGTCCCAGGTTCGATTCCGGTCAAGGGCATGTACCTTAGTTGCAGGCACATCCCCAGTAGGGGGTGTGCAGAAGGCAGCTGATCGATGTTTCTCTCTCATCAATGTTTCTAACTCTCTATCCCTCTCCCTTCCTCTCTGTAAAAAAATCAATAAAATATATTAAAAAAAAAAAAAAGTAAAAGGACAACCAATTCAGTGAGGAAAAACATTTGCACATCCTTTATCTGATAAGGGTCTAGTACACAGATATTTAAAGAACACTTAAAAGTCAACAGTAAAACGACACATAACCCAATTTAAAAATGGGCAAAAGATTTAAACAGAAATTTCTCCAAAGAAGGTATACAAATGGTTAGTAAACACATTAGAAGATTCTCAACATCATTAGCCATCAAGGAAATGCAAACCAAAATCACAATGAGACAGGACTTCCTAGACCAGTGATGGCGAACCTATGACACGCATGTCAGAGGTGACACGTGAACTCATTTTTTTGGTTGATTTTTCTTTGTTAAATGGCATTTAAATATATAAAATAAATATCAAAAATATAAATCTTTGTTTTACTATGGTTGCAAATATCAAAAAATTTCTATATGTGACACAGCAGCAGAGTTAAGTTAGGGTTTTTCAAAATGCTGACACGCTGAGCTCAAAAGGTTCACCATCACTGTCCTAGACCCTGGAATCTTCAGAAATGCTGGGACTGTTCTAATAAAAAAGATGGACAATAACTAATATTGAAGAGAATGTGGAGAAATTGGGACCCTCATACCTTGCTTTGGAGAATGTACGTTCATAGCAGTATTATTCATAACTAGAGGCCCAATGCACGAAATTCGTGCATGGGTAGAGTGCCTAGGCCTGGTCGATGATCAGGGCGGATTTGTGGGGGGATCAGCAGGGTGCTTGGGGGGCCCCCCCGCCTTGGCTGGCCTGGGGCCTGCAGGCTGGGAACAGCTCCTACGTTGAGCGTCTGCCCCCTGGTGGTCAGTGCGCGTCATAGGGACCGGTCGTTCCACTGTTTGGTTGATTTGCATATTGGGCTTTTATTATATAGAAGATAGCCCCAAAGTGGAAATAATATAAATGTCCATCAACTGATGAATGGATAAAGTGTGACATATCCATACAATGGAATTTTATTCAGCAGTAAAAAAGAAATAAAATATTGAAATATTGAAACATAAAAGAACCTTAAAAACATTATGTTAACACCTTTCGTACCGCTCACGAGCTTTCTCGTTTTTCACGCCCATGGAAAAAGGAGCGAATCTAGATACTTATGTAAATTTTGTTTGGTCCCTCTTCATAGAGGAAAATGTTTTATGCAGTACCATACGTTAAAAAAGTACTAGGAACTTTAATTGTTTAATTGTTTTTGTAAATAAAATGTTATAATTATTGAAAAACGACACCTAAAGTGCATTATGATGATTTAAATAACGTGCAGTTTGCCCGAAAACGTGCGGTCCCTGGCGTATGTCTTAGAGATTTCTATGCGGTACTAAAGGTGTTAAAGAAGTCATATTCATATGAAATCTCCTGATCAGCAAGTCCACAGAAGCAGAAATCAGATTAGTGTTACCTAGGACTTGGGGCTCCAGGGGAGGGAAGGAGTAACTGCTAATAGGTTGGAGGTTTCTTTCTGGGGAGATGAAAATATTCTAAAATCAGATTATAGTGATGGTTTGCATAACTCTGTAACTATACGAACACTATTGAACTGTACACTTTAAATGAGTGAACTTCACTTCACAGTATGTAAATTATATCTCCATAAAACTGTTTTATAAAAAAAAAAAAAAAAGCTCCGGTAACTATACCTGACTTTTTGGCAGATGGTGGTAAACCACTGCTTCCACCTCCAGCCCCAGTTCCAGGGCTGCCACCACCAACACTGGGGCCTCCCGGAGAACCAGTCTTTTTACTCAGCAAACTATTGAAGAAATTGGCCAGGACACCTTCACTTGTAGCTCCAGCTATAGAAACAAAAACAAAAACTTTCAATCAAAACATCAGGTTTTTCTACAAATTATTATTTTAGTAATCACACATAGAAAATGAATAATAGACTTGAAATTTAAGAGCTGTATGTTCCAAATTCAAGTCTAGTTTGATCTTAGAGGCTGGGTAACTTCTCTGATCTACTCATACAGAACAAAATATAAATAACCTTTAAAAATGCAAGATAATTATTTAAAAATTAGAATGTTATTTTAAAAAGGCCAAAGGTGCCGAAACCGGTTTGGCTCAGTGGATGGAGCGTCGGCCTGCGGACTGAAGGGTCCCGGGTTCGATTCCGGTCAGGGGCATGTACCTGGGTTGCGAGCACGTCCCCAGTGGGGGATGTGCAGGAGGCAGCTGGTCGATGTTTCTCTCTCATTGATGTTTCTAGCTCTCTGTCTCTCTCCCTTCCTCTCTGTGAAAGGTCAATAAAATATTTTAAAAAAATAAAAAATAAAAAAATAAAAAGGCCAAAGGCATATTAAACAGATATTAGTTGCTATATATCTCTGCTTTGAAAGGGGTTCTTAAAAAATATAATGTTGAAAAATATCTGCCTCAAGTACTATAAAAAGTTATCTAATTCTCCTATATGATTATGCATATACTTTTTCATGTTAATTGCAAGTAACCTATTATTATAAAAATATGAATTTCTTCAATGACCTACCATAGAATGATTAAATAAACACAAAGCTATCATTAAGCTTCCATCATAGAAATAACATATTAAGACTATACTATAAAATGGTTTTCAGTCTAACTATGAGATTATATCTATAGAGACAAAGATTAGAAGCTATTGCACAAAAACCACTATGGTAAAAGGGGATTTTAGGTAGATTTCTTTCTACTGAAAACATATTGTGTTGTTTTCTCCAAGAAAAAAAGAAATGTACCTTTCATGTTTGGATCAATTTTTTTTGACCAGCAGGGATGGGTGACACGCTGGCAACATTGGATGACACTGATCTGTTTGGTGTTCGAGGG